TTGGATTTTTTCTGAACTCTGCTTCCCAAAAGCATTTGTGTACCAAGTTTTAGATTACTAATTTCTCTATAACATGGTTAGAATTAGCGTCATTCAGTCACGATCGTCTATATATTGTGACGGATGAGGATGGCATCGAGAGGCTCGACTTAATGTCCCGGGTTCGGCGGTGTACAGTAGTGGTAGCCCACCTGACCGGCAAGCAGGAGGCCGGGGCCTCCTGTTTTCTTTCGGTCTCATGGTTTCCAAGTCCCGTCACTCATTCAATCTCCGTGACAGTATACTAGGTTGTCCCAAAAATTCTGGGGCAGCTGCGGAAAAATCAAATGTCGGGTGATACTGTCGAGGTTCGTGTTTTGTTGCGTCACTATTGGGAGAAAGGACTTTACACAAGAGCTGCTGCCAAGGAAATCTGCGACGTCGAAGGAGAAGGAACAACGAGCAAGTCGGCCGCTGCACGCTGGTTCAAAAAGTTCAACGACGGCGACCTCAGCCTCGAAGACAAGCCTCATTCCGGCCGACCATCAACATTTGACGAGGATGCATTGCGTTCCGCTTTGGAAGACGAGCCATCGTCAAGCACTCGAGACTTGGAGGCGGTTCTTTGAGTTGGCAAGTCAACGGGTCATCGTCATCTGCAACAGCTCGACTTTGTGCACAAAAAGCCCCGGCAGGATCCTCATGAGCTGACAGAAGCACAGGCCCGGAAGCGAGTCGAGATTTGTCGTCAGTTGCTCGAGAACCCATTGGACGACCGATTTTGGAAGCGCATTGTGACGTCTGACAGGAAGTGGGTCTATTTGGTCAACCACAACAAGCAAAAGCAGTGGGTCCCACGAGGTCAAGAGCGCAGCCAACAGTTCGACCGGTTCGTTTTGGCAAAAAGGTGATGCTTTCGGTTTGGTGGAACTTTGATGGCGTGGTCCACTTTGAGCTGGTTCCGAATGGTCGAGCCGTGAACGCCCAGCTGTACACCGAGCAACTGGACCGAGTCTACAACGTGCTGAAGGAGAAGTGCCCGGTCTTGATTCGACGCGAGCTTTGTTTCAGCAGGAGAACGCCCCGGCTCACCGTGCAAGAATGACGCAGGAGAAGTTCCAGGAGTTGAAGTTCTGCCGCATCCCGCCTACAGTCCTGATACTGCTCCATCCGACTTCGGCCTGTTTCGATCTATGGAACACATTCTGCGAGGACAGCGCTTTGAATCTTTTGATCAAGTCGAGGAAGCGTGTCAGGAATTTTTTGACTCGAAGCCCAAAGAATGGTACTTCAAGAAGATCCGGATGCTTGCAGATCGATGGCAGAAGATCGTTGAGAACGACGGCCTTTATTTTGAAGAATAGTTGTTGTTGATTTTTATTTGAATTCGCGCATGGAAATTGATTTTTCCGCAGCTGCCCCAGAATTTTTTGGACAACCTAGTAGATATTTTTTTACTTTTCTTATGTCTTTATTCATGCTTCCAAAGGTTAAAGAACGGAAACAGCAATGAAACATCTACAAATTAAACATGTTCTTATTCTCATGTTTTCCCATATTTTCATTAAATGCCTATTTCCTTCCGGCCAAAGAACTGAAACAACAATTACATTTTCATGGCAAGACAAGTGTCCTTGTTTCAAACTGCTATCAATGTATTCCTTGTAGTTGCTTATTTACTCGCTCGTGAGAAGGCTAAGAAGGAGCGATCCCATCCAGGCTTTCACTATAATAAAAGGAATAGATCATGTCGAGTGTGGTACGTTTTTTACAGTTCGATGGCAGGAAGATAATGAGAGGTAATCAACTAAAGTTGCTGAAGCCGCAGGTGAGACTCCTGTGGAGACAGGAATTCTTTACGTGGAGAGTGGTGATCGCGTGGAATGTGCTAGATAACGAAGTAGTGGCTGCCTTTTCAATGACTATTTTAAAAAGAAACTCACTTCCTTCACTGCCTTCACACCTTCCTTCACGGACAAACATTGCTGAATATTCTCCTGAGTGATGTATTTCATTAGAGAGAGTGCACTTCAGGGAAATATATCGCATACCGCCATAACAGGAAAGGCAAATCGGGGAGGAATTGATGCACCACCCTGTATATATGTGGAAAACATGGAATTAATGTTTTTTTTAATTTATGACTTGGGGAATCATTAAATGTTGAATTTAAGTTTTGGATTACAGCAGTGCGCGGGAACAGGGAAGAGCTGGGTGCCCAATTCCACGAACAACATAAATTCCCTATCCTCTACGGAAGAGAGTCCCAAAATTTGGGATTTTATTCCTAGGGTTTCGCGTTAGGTGCAGAAGGAAAGAGCAGTAGGTTCTCTTGGTACTCCTTAATACTAATAAGGATGAGTACTTGTGGACTCGTCCGAGTACCCTAGAGCTCCAAATTGTGGAAAGGAATGGGAGAAGTATAGGGATTTTAATACCCTTCCAAAGCAGTAATTTGCTCAAGAAAATTCGCATAAATGTTAAGGGAAAATTAATATCAATTTTACGCAAATTAATGTAAACATGTTGTTTGGGTTATAAACTGGTATGTCAATTTTACGCGTAATTTATGTTAATTTTATACCACAATTTGCGTATAACAGAGGGGTCATTTCTGCATACGCAATATCTTGATGATGGTTTCCGTGAACAAGATGGACAAAAAATTACATTAATTTTATGTAATGTAAAAAAAGATGCTGCTTGGGAAGGCTTCATGATCACAGCTGCAGGTTGCATTTTTTAAGAAACCAGTCTCTGGGAGGTAGACCGCTGTTTGCAGAAAAGCGACATTAGGATTTTAAAGATCTGAACAAGGTCCTTCCAGTCTTTTCCAATAGTAAACCCCATTGAATCTAGAGCCCTCTCATCGTGACCAAATTATCATTTATTAGAAAAACCCATCCTTTCCTAAAACATAGTCCACCATTGCCTCTGGCAGCAGAAGATCATTCATGAGGAAAGGTCATTCTGGATCTGCTGGAGCAACTCTTCATTTGGAATTTCCTTTTTTTTTAATTGGAGACGTTTTTCTGTGGTGGAAGAGTCATTGAGCATCATTATTAGTACGGTGGCAGGTAAAGGCAGGAGATTTTTCATTGAATGAAAAGCAGATACATTGTGCTTTGCAAATTCATAAACCAACCGTCAAAATTATTTCAACAATTTAGAGCATCATGCCGAAACTTTGGTGAACCAGATACATAAATCCCATAGATATTTAGGTTACACAGATAAAACAGGTTTCAAAAGTTTTCTTTCATTTTAAAATGAGAAACATAAGAGACTGACCTGACTAATTTCTGGATAAAAGAAACTCTCAAATGTCAACATGGAAACGCAAACGATGTTCGAACATTTGATCCATTTATCGTACTAAAGGAAGAAATGCTTGATTCCCTCAAAGAAAACCCCTCAAACAAGAGAGAGAATAAGAAACCAAGTACGATGAAGACAATTGAGATTATAGCAATCTAAGATGCATGCCAAACACATTGCTATGGTTGGTATAAAAACGAAATAAAATTTGAATTGGATCCAAAATCATCCTTCTGCTGAGGAACGACGGCCAAGACTCCGACTTGCTCCCGTCTGAGGCGGATCGGAGCGACACGCTCGCTGACTGGGTTCCATTCGATGACGCTTTCCGCTAGTTAGGGACTAATGAGTATCCCTACTCCAGCCCGAGCAAACACGGTCGAGTCGACTCCGCTCCGGTAGAGGGTCCATCCGTGGTCTAGGGTAATAGAACTGGTGCTTATTCTCTTTCTTCAGGCCTGTCCAACTACATCTAGTCGTCTCCTCCTAGTCTCCTCCACGGGTTCAGGCTCCTTACCACAGAGTGTTAGCACGTTCCAAGTCCGATGTTCAGAGTCCGTAGCCAAGGTCGTTTACGTATATTCCGCTCCTGGTCTGCCCTTCGGGCATTGTGCCGAAAGAACGCTATAGCCGGTGGCAAGCTAACCAATACGTAGTGTTTGAGTGGCCTTTGGTCCCTGAGAGCGGAGCAACACTGTGGGGAGTGCCGGCATGGCCGGAAGCGAGGAAAGGGACGGGGGAAGGGGTGCTGCGTGGGCATTGCGGAAGGCGGGTCGGCCCCGCGAGGGTCGTGGTGCAGCCACGTTGCAATGATCGGGCCGGGACCGGATTTGGAGCCCCGTTATTGCGTTTTCGCCTTACTGGATCATGCTGGGGCCCCTTCCAACGCGTCTCACTGATTGGACTGTGATGGGACTGTGATTGTTTCTCCCCACCTGCCCGCCGCTACATTGCCGCTTCTTCATCTATATTTTATTTTCTTTTATATTTTATATCCTATTGGCCTTGAGTGTATTGGCTTGTTTTCTGTGGGATTGTGTTGTTACCCCCCCCCCCCCCTTGAGTGGCCCCTTTTGCTATTTGTATTTGTATTTATACTGACCTTTTATTGAACCACGCCCTCGGTGCAAGTGAGATTCCAACGACACCTGGAATGGGCCACCAATAGGTCTGGATGTAGCATAACGGGATCCGACTCACCCAGAGACATTGTCAAGCCCCATTAGTCAATTTATCAATTGGGTGACTATTGATGAGTTGGGTGTTGAGGATCACAAATTCGAAAAGAAAATATATTATTCTCATATTGTTCTAAACCAGAGCTTCGCAAGCGGAAGGCATTTTAAGGTAAAGTTCAATGCATAGCATCTGTGGAAATCGTTTACCACCGCAGAAAATTACAATGTATAGACCTTTTCGCGCTATGGCAGCCTAATTGGTAAATAGAGCGCAAAAATTGTGCAAACTGATTCCTGAGAATTCATGTATATGGCCTTGTATAAGATTAAACTTGATTCGACGTAGCGATTCGCTTACTTTCCCTAAAACGCTATCGTCCAATAACAAAATACCATGGTTAAAACTCACCATGACTGCTTCTGACGTCCTGGAATCCGTCAAGTAGGTATCGACTAGGAAAATAAAGACGTCCATGGGCTCAATTAAATTGGTCCACGAGGCCATGCATTGTATGTAAAAAAAAAATGGGTTATGAATTGATTGACCTACAGCTATGCAATTTACTCCAAGAAACAAGGTTTTCACAAGAGAATAGTTAAGGCGAGGTAGGATCTAATGAATCATTCGAAATCTAATTTCTTCCACTCCGATTTGTCCAAACATTCTGCACATCTAGTATTACCACACCAAAACGGCGGGTGTTATGAATATGTCATTGATGATGAAATAAATTATTTGCAAGCAATCAATAAATGCAACGTCACAGTGATGCTGTATTCTATTCTGGGTACATTGTATACGCACTAAATCCTATTCTCCTCCCACTATACTTTCATTACAGACGGCGTTGACGCATTGCATATATATCCGGAATGCCGAATGACGACAATGGGAAAGGAGTACAGAGGCACCCATAGTCAAACACAAACTGGAAGGAAGTGCTGGCATTGGAAGATGCTTGCAGACGATTCAGAATTAATATCTTCTGTATACTTTTTATTTGAAATTTTGCAGCAGCAGGTGATGAAGTTGAGCCCTTTGAGTGTCATGGATAGACAGATAGACATCTATGAGTTAATTTCAAAACAGGATCTAAACTATTGCCGGAACCCAACGTCGGCAGAGCAACCATGGTGCTTTATTTCCACAAACTATAGTCAATGGGAATTCTGCGACATCCCCTTCTGCTCCGGCCGAAAAGGTTTGTCATACTTTGGCCTGCAAGGATACTAGGCTAGAGAGAGTGCTTTGCAGAGGATTTTTAATTTTCTGTCTAAAGTATTTCCCCACACCGCTCGAAGCCATGACGCTGATACTAGGAATCGTATGTTCTTGATATCTCACTCTGCGCTTTTGGCAAGCTGTACCTGGGTGAATCATCGGATCACCTACTAGTGTTTTTGAATTAGTGAATCGTTGCAATGGTTTTTAATAGTACTTTTATTTAAATTCATTCTCACAAGGGTGTACTCGTTGAGCGAAACGGTCAAGTTGAGTAGATCCAAGGTCAAGCTGACGTTCGGACATGAATTCATTGCTGTTTAAATAGTTAACGCATGAAATACTTCAATTGATGTTACCCATTCCAAGATAAGCAGGTACAGGATGTATGATGTCATCATGAAAAAGTGAGCAATAAAATAAGTGGCTTGGTATCGAATATATACAGATCTTGAGTGACTGACGCTAATTCTAACAATGTTCTAGATTTGGTAGATACGTGTAATTCAGTTCATCAGTAGCTATTAGGATGCTGAGTTCAGAATTCATCCGACTTTTAAGGTACATGTCCTGCTGGCCCGTTATTTGGAGGGAACGTTTTTAGGCAATTTCTTTGTAACTCCAGTGAAAGAGAGACATGGAAATCTGAAAATTGCCGCGAATAAGTCTTCTGATTGCAGGAGAATATTCAATTTTCCAATATCCCCATGGGAGTACATTTATTTGGGAAAGACGTTTTGCAAGAATTAGTTTTGCTCCAGTGAATCGGGCAGAAGATCAAGGTGAAACTTGAAACCAAATCAGCTGATGTGTTGATTAATTCGGGAAAAGGTGATTTCCATGTCCATACGCGCAGGGTAAAATATTTGAATAAAACCTTTCAACAAAGACGTTTTCATTGCAGCGATGCATGTCCATGAAGTAGGTCTTGAAGGTTTGCCTGTAGAAAAAATATTATTTTTACGTAATTGTCCTTCGGACATATCTTTCAGGCGGCAAGAATTTCACAGCATTTTTCTATGGAGAAAGGGCAAGTGGAGACATTCAAAATTCAGCAATCGAATGAATCGAATCGCCACAATATGATTTCATGGTGTTTTTTCCTTTCAGGGTCATCCCCTTAGTGATCAGTTTCCGATAATGACATTTATTAAGAAAAAAGGAATTTATTTGCAAAGAATCGGGCCAATATTGTAAGTGGGGAATTTCATTTCACACAACCAAAAATTAAGAGAAACCCAAAATGAAAACGCTCAAACCTCAAGGAATCGTACCACATTGCTAGGTGTGATGATAGAAAATATATTTAAAAGGCATTATGCATTTCCTTAGAGCCTAGATCGCCAAAGGTGCGTCCGTAGTGCGTATGTTTGCCTTAAGGGCAAACAAACTCATTAGTCTAATAAACTCGGCTGTTCGCATTTAAACGCAACATAGGGAAGTTTATGCCGCCTGTTTGTGGAGTTCAGGGCGTGCCTTTTAGTTCGCTGGATTGCATGTCCGGAAGGATGACACGTATCCCTGGTGGGTTATCTTGCAGATATGCAACCCGGTGGGCCTTATGGCCTTCGCCGAACTCCACCTACAGGCGGAAAAATATTCCCTATGTTGTGTTTAAACACGAACACCCCCTACATAGACGATCGTGACTCACTCAGAGGCTGACTCTAATTCCAATCATGTTCTTGAGAAGTATTATAATCTGAAACTTGGTACGGAAGTAGCAATGGGGTTGCAGAGTTCAGAAGAAATGAAAAGCTGAAGGAACGTGCCCCACGGGCACCCAATTTAGGGGAATATATATTCGAAGAAAAAAGGTTTGATTCAGTAAAGCAAAGAGACATGGAAAACTGAAACTTGGCATGATTTGCCTTTTTTCTTTTTTGAGTTGATAATTTCTTTGGGATTGCATCATTTGCGTTACTCACACTGTTATTTTATTTCATTAGTTTTGTTTAATAGCGAATACTTGTTCATTTTGCGTTACTTTTATTATACCCAGAGTGTTTTTGATGTTTCATGATGAATACCGCTTTGGCTCTCATAAATCGCTAAAATTCAAACACAACTATGCTTGAAATTGTAGACCATTTCTTGCTGCAGATTCTTCTTGCAGTGGAAATACTCATTATGCTGTCGACCTTCAGAGCTACCGGAATGCAGATTGACTGAAGAGGGACGGGAGTATGCAGGGTTTATGAACGTGGACTCATTTGGTCGGAAATGTCAACCCTGGCTGACACCAGACCCGAAGCGATTCGAACTCCTGAATTTCCTCGCATTCCCTGACCAACTCATGAACTATAGTTACAACTACTGTCGCAATCCTGACCTGAAGGAAGACCGACTCTGGTGTTTCATTGAAGAAGGAACTTGGACAGGACAGGGAGAATGCGAGGTCCCATTTTGCTATGAAGCGTATGAACGTTCCGCTCTCAAAGGTATTCTTTCGAGTTGCAAAATGCAACATTGCATATATTTTTCCATTATTTGTGTTTCAATGTTGAAGAATTTGGATGAGCAAACATTTTCCCCATGCGGTCTGTGGTCAAATAATGGAAAAATTCACTTTATTATTAATATTTTGGGAACTACTTTTCTTGAAATACTGATGGCAAACAGTAGCTGGAGTTTAAGTGATTCGAACAACGTCCATGATAATGTGGCAGGTAAACCGGCGCAAGGATACCCGGAATGTTTGCAGACCACGATGGGGAAGGAATACGTGGGGACGACGAAGAAGACGTTGTCTGGCAAGTCCTGCCTACGATGGGACGCTCAGCCCTATGGAAAGCTTGAGGACTTCGATCCGAAATTATCATACGATGATCACTTCCGATTTGGCAGTGCCGCATCGCATCAAGATTTCTGCAGGAACCCGACGTTGAAGACGCAACCCTGGTGTTTTGTCGCAGATCCATGCTTGAGGACTTCGATCCGAAATTACCATACGATGATCACTTCCGATTTGGCAGTGCCGCATCGCATCAAGATTTCTGCAGGAACCCGACGTTGAAGACGCAACCCTGGTGTTTTGTCGCAGATCCATTCGTGAAATGGGAATTCTGCGATATCCCCCTCTGCCCCAACTACCCTAGTAAGCTCACTACGATCCACGGATAAATTTTCTATCGGGGTGCGAAATGATTAATGCCAGAGTTGGAAAGGAGAGACACTCGCAGCAGACACATTGTTATGATTCATTTCGTTAGGAATGAGTAAATAATAATAATCGTGCTATGCAATATTGGAAATATCAAAGAATATTGAATAATTCATTATAACCTAAGGCACGGTAGTGTCTTCTTCCGAATTATCTCGAATCATTGAGACTGTTTTATAGTTTAGAAAACTACATGGTTCATACATCACGACATTAGGCCTAATGACATTGCAGGTCTTACGTTGAATAAGTTACTGGAACATGTATATCAATGCTTTCATTAGTATATTCAATTGGTCCGCATGTGATCGCTGTCTTATATAGTACGAGTCTTCCTCTCTTTCTCGGAAAGATGAAGATTTTTGCATGCTTCATTTTTCCCTCCGGCAGACAAGACGGAATGCAGATGGACACACAAGGGAGAGGAGTACGCAGGGACTATCAATGTGACGGTTTCCGGCCGTCCGTGTCTACCTTGGATCGCTTCCGGATTACTGGAACAATTTTGGCCAAGGTTCCCAGAAGACGCGATGAGCGAGAATCACAACTTTTGTCGCAATCCAACTGGGAGGAAGGATCTGGTCTACTGTTTCGTTGGTTTTCAAGGGAACGACAAAACGTTCGAAGCCTGTGACATTCCTTTCTGCCCTTTCCATTACCTGCACTGAAGACGCCTTGTAGGTGAAGGAAGGAGTGAAGCAATGTAATTTTTTTTGTTTCATGAACTGTTGGATGCATTCTATTCTCACTTTTAGAATTTGGCATTCATGTGAGAGGTACATATATTTCATTTAACTCTATATGGTGGTCAGGCTACTCCCTTCCCTTGCTTAATTACTTTTCATTTTTTGTGGATCACAAGAGGGGTATGTCATTCTCAAATATTCAATATTTCCTTCACGAACGTCCTACTCTTACTCGAGGACTATTTTTGGGCGCAACTGGAACGACAACGGAGTGAAAGCTACGCATCGAAGCCGAATTCGTCGCACTTGGATTCATCGATCTGCAGGAAGCAATTTCCGAAATGCATTGTGGTGCCCTCGAGTGGCTCAATGAACTGAATGAACGTCTATGAGTAAAGCTGCACTTTCTCATAACTTTCTGGCGCACCTCGTGTGTTATTGGTGTTGTTCTCGCGTTGAGTGTTGATTATTAAAACGTTCAAGGGGAACATTTTGCTTACTCGTTTTTTCTTAGAATGTTTGGACAAATCGGAGTGGGAGAAATTAGATTTCGAATGATTCATGAGATCCTACTAATCCCTGTTACATCGCCTTAACTATTCTCTTGTGGGAACCTTGTTTCTTGGAGTCAATTGCATAGCTGTAGATCAATCACTTCATAACCTTGTTTTTTTTTACATACAATGCATGGCCTCGTGGACCAATTTAATTGAGCCCATTGAGCCCCTCTTTATTTTCCTTGTCGATATCTACTTGACGGATACAAGGACGTCAGAAGCCGTCATGGTGAGTTTTCATTTGTTATTGAACGATAGCGTTTTAGGGAAAGTAAGGGAAAGGGTACGTCGGATCAAGTTTAGTCTTATACAAGGCCATATACATGAATTCTCCGGAATCAGCTTGCACAATTTTTGCGCTCTATTTACCAATTAGGCTGCCATTGCGCGAAAAGGTCTATACATTGTAATTTTCTGTGGTGGTAAATGATTTCCGCAGATGCTATGCATTGAACTTTACCTTAAAATGCCTTCCGCTTGCGAAGCTCTGATTTAGAACAATGCATGAGAAAAATATATTTTATTTTCGAATTTGTGATCCTCAACACCCAACTCATCAATAGTCACCCAATTGATAAATTGTCTAATGGGGCTGGACAATGTCTCTGGGTGCGTCGGACCCCGTTATGCTACATCCAGACTTACTGTATTGGTTACCTTGCCACCGGCTATAGCGTTCTTTTGGCACAATGCCCTAAGGGCAGACCAGGAGCGGAATATAATGGTAAACAACCTTGGCAACGGACAATGAACATCGGGACTTGGAACGTGCTAACACTCTGCGGTAAGGAGCCTGAACTCGTGGAGGAGACTAGGAGGAGACGAATAGATGTAGTTGGACTGGACTCAAGAAAGAGAATAGGCACCAGTTCTATTACCCTAGACCACGATTGGACCCTCTACCGGAGCGGAGTCGACTCGACCGTGTTTGCTCAGGCTGGAGTAGGGATACTCACTAGTCCCTAACTAGCGGAAAGCGTCATCGAATGGAACCCAGTCAGCGAGCGTGTCGCTCCGATCCGCTTCAGACGGGAGCAAGTCGGAGTCTTGGACATCGTTCCGCTCTACGGGCCGATTCTTTTTGGCGGAGGTGGATAGAACCTTAGAGAGGATTTCTAACGTCGTCTGTAATGTGCTGATGGGGGATTTCAATGCACGAGTTGGGAGAGACTATGCTACCTGGAATGGTGTGATCGGTCGATTTAGAGGAAGCCATGCTGAACGGGAATGGTAAAAAGTTGCTGCACGTCGGTGGTGATGGGAAGCCCTGCACGATGAGGGAAATCGTGCCGAAATCGAAATCGGAAATCCACATGCCTCCATTATCTCTCTTCGCACGTTGTTTCCTGGTTAGTTAAGAAGCGTGAATTGTATATTTTCTGTTGTACACGTTAATATTTTCTGTTGTACCACGTGGCTAGCTTGAGACAGATAGGCAGCTATGCCAAAAAATTTGATTGTCGTCAACATATTTGAAGGAAAGTTTTTAAATAAATGTTAATTGAAGTGTTAAGGTGAATTGATATCATCAACTTTTTTTTCACTTTTTCGGAATTTTCTGGTTGAAGTGGAACTTCTTGATTTCTTCGAATGTTAAATTAATATTGGTTTTTCTTTTCCTCTATTTTTATTGCCATTTTGGCTTTAAAGGGTGCTAATAATTTGTCCATGTCGAAAGCAACGTTTTTGTGAAAAAGCATGCCAAAATTCTTTCAGCAGTTTCTCCTGGAGACAAGCCGCAAAAGCGGTTCAAATTTCACGAATCATGATAGGACCCATATATTACATATTTTTAAATATATTATTTGCATCCTAAAGTGCAACTGACTAGAAAATTCCGAATAAGTGAAAAAAGTTGATGATGTCAATTCCCCTTAACATTTATTTTATTTATAATAACATTTATTTTAAAACTTTCCTTCAAATATGTCGACGACAATCAAATTTTTTTGGCATAGTTGCCTATCTGTCTCAAGCTAGCCACGTGGTACAACAGAAAATATTACAATACACGCTTCTTAACCAACCAGGAAACAACGTGCGAAGAGAGATGATGGAGGGATGGGGATTAAGGGGCGTCTCCCCTGGCTAGCGAGAGCAAGAATATACTTTTATTGATTCTCAAATTGAGATTAGACGAGACATATGGTGAAACCAAAACCACCATATAGTGGCACGAAGGAGAACGTCAACAACCCTCATCGGTGGGTCGAGTGTGCCTTTAGAGTCGTGTGAGGCACGTTATTGACGGAAATAAACTGGTTGGTCTGTCTGCATGTGGAATCATGGCACAGACGTGGTGCATGAATGTGCCTCTCCAAATATGTCCGCTTTTTCTACGGCAACCCGTAACCTATAATGGTGTGGACATTTCTATCTACTGTACTAGGACTGCTGGTACCGGCATAACCCCCTGCTCAAGCAAGTGTTTCACCCATGGATAGGCAGAAGGCATAGGATAATACGGGAGTTAAACTACCTCTGAAACGAACTAATTATTGCATACAATATTATATTATGGCACCGTATTCATGAAAGCATCCGCAAATGTTTCAGTTCGTATATTGTGCATGTACGTGAAACATCCATGTCTGCCAAGTGCTGCCCAAGGGTGCCAACAGTTTTATGTGCCACACATGGTCTAACAACCCAACAGCCACAGAAACACCGCAGCTGCCGCACATACGCCGAGCCATGGCCACACATGCGTTGCTGATTGGGTAGCATCGGGAAAAATTAAAACTAAATAACTTTTAAATTAACTTAAGAATTACCATGATATACTTTTTGTGAAAGCCTACAGACAGTGACAACTAATGTGAGATCATTCTCACCTTCATGAGACTTCTCCTTCATAGGTGAACCATTTAACTGCATAATATGAATGTAGATAAGTACATGTTTCTCTCAGGGTGATGAGGCGAGGGGGAAGTCTGGCAAACGTGTGGACGGAACCCAGAATGGCCGTCACCTCGTTGAGAGATGACATTTAAAAACTGTTGGCTGAGAGAATCTCGTTTTTACTTAAAGTTTGACAAGGAATTTCTCAACTTCTTCAGGAGCAGCTAACGCTAGTGACTTGGTTGACATTCTGCTCCAACGGTTCGAAGACGACGACGACGCAGATGAACGTCTCTCCACCCGACTCCACATTGCAGCCTGCGACTGACCCGACCGAGCTCTTCGTGCAATTCGTCTCAGCCATCTGAACCTCGAGTTTGTAGTTGATCCCGGCCACGACCTGAGACCACGTCTGGAGGATCTCCACGACCTTAAACAGGTTGGATTCGTCCTCGAGCTGTTGGTTCACCGCTGGTTCGATCAAGATGATGAAGCTCGCCTGCGTCTCTGGTGGCAGCGTCGTCGAGGTGTAGCCTCCGACCGTGATGTCCGTCGTTGCTGCCAACGGGTGGCCGAGCAGGGCCACGACACACAACAATCCGATCGTCGACATCTACACTCATCAAAGGAAAAGTCTGTCAAAAATAAGTCTAACAATGTCATCCCAATTATGGAATGTCGACTTCGTAGATAATATGATTGTTATTATTCGAAATTGGTCGATGGTGAAATCGAATAGGATATGGAGATGCTCCCCAAGACCGAATTGTAGAATAAAAATAGAGCGAACGGATTCCGCTTATTGCAGTTCATAGATCACAGTAGACTATTCCAGCGTAATTAAGATCCCTATAAATGAAATTTTTAAGTGAAAGA